TTGGTATTACGGGACATGAATGGAAGACCAAGGTATGATACTGGTGCAAACATGATAAACATGAGATGCGTGTCATGTAACAATATGACTACATGCCACACTCTTGATGCACTCGCGGCCGTTTCGCTTGCTCCACATACACTAAATTTGGTATCACGTGATGTGAATAGACGACGAAGGTAAACGACACATCCAAACATGATAATTTTGGCACGGAAATCATGTACGGCATCATTTACCTCCACCTCGTAACGTTGTGCTGATTTTAAAGTGACATATCAACCTTTCCTATTCGTGCTCCGCATATTATCGGTTCCCACTGTACGTTGGATCTGCCATTTTTTAGGGGCAAAGCTCCTTATAGCGGCACCCGTTCGTCCCTCATAGCCGTTGTAGCAGTGTGTAACAAGTATAACATTTTGACCTCCAAAGTGGTGCCGGTGAGAGATTTCTCCTGTGCGTTGTTGAACAATAAAAGATAGTGCTCAATGTACATGCCAATGGCTGTTAAGCTGTTAAGGGGGAATGAAAAACAGGAGAATGCGGGTTTTAGTAACGCGCACGCTGCGAATTCTTCATCGCTCAACAACACACAGAAGACAAGAAAAAGTTGCTACGTTATACTCGCTGGGCGTAACCTCCTAGGTTTTAGAAAGGTTTAGCGAGCGTTGGGCCGCAGTGCCATGAATACAACTAGTGAACTAGTATATACCATGAACTCGAGGTGGTTAAAGGTGGGATGTAGACACGAAGCGCAAGCCGTAAGAAAGTGTGCGCGTGCCTCCTCTCGTTCAGTCCTCGGAATGTCCGCTGGATGGCGGTGCTTCCATATGCGGAGTATATGATGAAAAGATGCGAGATGGTGGTACTTGGAGTGGTTGACTAGATGAACGAACGGACGCACAAACAGATGCATGGATGGTCGCATGGATGGCTGCACGGACGGATGGACGCATGGACGGACGCAGGGGCGGATGCACAGATGGACATGTGGCCGCACGAACTGACGCACGCACGTACGGGCGGATGGGTGGACGCACGGACGGTCACACAGACGGACGCATGGACGGACGGAACCAAGGACGAATTTACGGACAGATGCTTCGCCCCACTCGCCATCATTCACCCCATAGATATGCTGCCATTTTTTTTAATTCGTTAGCAGAACTCCTTGCCTTGTTCTCTGCCTACGCTAGATTGAAGACTAGCATCCTTGACAGGTTGTGATTGGTCGGCCCGTCCTTTACATCTATAGGTGTTTTCATGCACAGTGGCTGAGAAAGTAGACTTTATGCACGTTTCTGGCGTTGTGAGAAGACGCAGGACGAGTTATCGAGAAAGTGATCTGACAGAGTCTGCTCGTGCAGCAAGAACATACTCCACGAACGAGGCGGAAATGCCCGGAACCATTCCAGACCGATAAGAAAAAAGCGGGTCTTTCGCGCCATCAAACTGAACGGCTTTCGTGGCGGAAGCAGCGCACGCACACTGCTTCTTTCCGTAGACGCCAGCGCAAGCGATAGCGGAGCGCGTGCCAACGCACCGCGTAAACAGCAAGCAAATGGGGCACCTTCCTTTGGGATATCAAAAGCCGGACGAATCCACCCAGCTGAAAAAGAAGGAAAGAAGCGGCTATCTTGGCGGCGCAGCACACGTCATCGGAGGAAGAGCCGCTTTCGCTCTCTTTTCTCCACCCGCTGCGCTGGCCAGCGAGCCTTTTCCGAAAAACCTCTCCCGCGACGCAGCGCGGCGGCACCAATTCCTCTGCAATCGCGGCTGTTGATCAGCTACGCTGTTTTGGCTGGCGGCGTTGTGTAAGAAACCCGCTTGCGTAACCCGCTCCTAGGCCATCCCGTTTTGGTTACACACCCGCACGTCGCAGGAACTGGACTTGGGCACCGCTACGTTCTTCTCTCTCTCTCTCTCTCTTAGCTTCTCTCGCCGATTCACGTTAGCCCGGCGAAGCAGGTTTTTCATCTCCGTCCACTCTTCGCACCGCTTCTGCGAGGCACTGCGGCACGTACGTGCCAGTTTTATCGGAGCCGCAAAGGGAAAAAAAACAAAAACAAAAACAGCAACTGAATCCGAGACCTATTGAAGCGCTACACGTATATAGAACACTGCGCGTTATCGCACACCGTTGCTCGTTCCACGTAAGGCGAACGAAATGCTTCTTAATGGCACCGGCGCATACATCTGCATCTTGTATAATCGCGCCGAACGAATCTTCGCGGAGAATTGCGGAAGTCCGTGCATTTCCCTTTCGTCGTTGTTAGCTGTGCAATGGCACGAACACGGTTTCCGTAATGTCGGGTGATTGGCATCTTTCTCGCTTCATATTCAGGCATTATCGTGGTCATCATGCGAGTGATTCCAACGGGTACGGTAGGAACCGCGGGAAGGCGTTGGCGCTTTGTGGCAAATATATACTTGCTTTTTTTTAAGTGCGGTGCCATTTAAGTGTTTGCGAGGAGATATATAACGTTGCATTGGTGCAATTGTGGGCGGTAATGTCAGAAAATAGGCCTTTGTTTCCAACTTCTATTCTCTCTTCTCTCAACAAAGGAAGTTTAATGACGGAAGCGATGCCCGATTTTCTATAATTAACGTAACGGTTACACTCTTTCCAGACCAGTACAGTCGGGGGGTAATTAACGTCATTTGTCAGTTGACGCTAAGCAATTAGAGGCACTCGGGTAGCATGGCACGTGGAAGTAACGAAGCGATGACTGTTCGAGAAGAAGAAGAAATGACAGAGAAAGGGACAACAATCTACAGGGGGTTTGTGAACGTTTATTTACACTTTAACTGCATGTTACTAAGCATCTCACACACATTCTGAACACGACATAGAAGTTCACGCGTGGCTTCACATGCTGCATTAGCAATCTCTACACCACATACCAAGACATTCGATTGCTCGCATGTGTGCCAAAACACATGACATATAACATTCACTTGACCAACGCCGAGGTCACCAACAAGAAATACAAACACACTTTGCACAAGACATACAAACACGTATCATTAAGAGAGCGATGGCTACTTCCTCAACGACATACACTAACCAGACATTTTTTTAAGGCAACATGACCAGTGCTAAAAAAACAAACGCAGGTGACGACAAGGACTCACTATAGTTAACGAACAACACAGAACAGCGATGAGTTAAAAGCAACGTAGTTATACTGTTAATTGCTCATGCGTGAGGCGTTTGCGTGACACACGTGAATTTACAAAGTCGCGTAAAAGGCTTCAGCCTTCTTTGGCTAGGAGCACAAGGACGGGGACAAGAATAACAATGACTTGAAACTAGCACACATTGCGACAACAACAAAACAACAACAAGAAACAGAAAGCACGCTGGACGAGACAGCTACTAACTAATCATGCACACCCATACAACGAAAAGTTGTAGTTTATCAATACGTCATCGTGATCAGTACGCGCGTAGTCGAGCCTGAGACTGACTGTGCTGAAGTATAAGTTGTTAGCGTTAAGCTGACTGAAAGTGAGCAAAGTTAGTGGTAAGCTTGTGAAAGGATGCAGCATATAAACAAAACCTATTATGAAAGGTGCGTCTCTTTTAGTGGAAAAACTAGAAGAACGACACTAACACAATTAGTAACAATGATTGCTCGTGCTGGCGAGTGCACTGCTTGGTTAAATACTGAGCATGCTGAGCCTTCGGTGAATGGCACATCGGTAGCCCTCGATAGTTAGCGGCGCATGTTAATGTAAGAGAACGATATCGAAACAGAATGTCTCTCGCTCTAGATGCTGGCGATGTCTCTATGGTTAATGCACACACACGGACTGCCTCATTACACGATATAAGGCACAAAATGTTTTAGTGTTTGGAAAAGTGGACATGGTTTACGTAGAGATCGGTTATTGAAATAAAACCGAATACATTACAAAGACGAAAACAAAAAAGACACACACAAAGAAATTCGACGCAGAGGGAACGGACAACATGCAAGACAGGTTGAAAGCTTGAAATGAAGGCTTGAAACGGCTCAGAAACAGTGCTTTGTACGACTACGATCCACCGTCTGGCTAGATCTTATAGGAGTCCCCAGTAGCCAGTCAAGAGGTCCTGATGGTGACAAGTCAAGGGCGAAAGTAGACGTGATGATCGCTTGGCTTCAGGGTTGAACCCTTGTTACCTTGATGGGGACATGATGACAGAGCGGAAAAGAACACTGCACTTATGTGTACGCGGGAATTGACAACTGACGATGAAAGAAAAGTACAATGAGAGCTGTTCAGTGACATCATGAAAATGACTAATCTTTTCAGAGCCTCCCATATGTTCCGGAGCACCCATTAGCTTATCTTCTTCATTCAGCACCCAATCAGTAGTTGACGCTACTTATCTGGCACCCTCTTGCCGAGATGCTCTCACGCCATAAGACGTATCCTATTGACAGCACTCTCCACTTTGCACGTACCTCCAAGAATACCTGTCAGAAAGCAATGTGAAACCAAGTTATCTAAACCTTCCGTTTGTCTTGCATAATGCTGCTAGTTGGTCACTGACAGAAGGCTGCGAAGGGCTGAATTGATTACCCAGAGGATGAAGGTTATTTTTCGTTGCCGAGACATGCTGTTTGTGCTGCATGCAGGTTTTAATGGAGAAATTGTGAATGGTATGTAAAAATTACAAGCGAACTCTAGGACTACTTCGATTCTTGGTTTAAAAGCAGCTAGCTGTAAACCCATTCACACGAAGCCAAACTCAATGCGGCTGAGGCGACGCGTGGCCGTTCACCGCGACGTAGATTGTAGCCACTGACCATGCAACGGACTACCGTGCCGCGCGCGCTGCGCGTTGATAAGCAACTTCAACGGCGACAATAAAAACAAAAGAAATTACGCAAAAAACAACAAAAGGTATTTTAGAGTGTAACCTAGAATGTTCATATGAACGGTCTTGCGGTTCCTCGAAACGCACACATATGCGGTGACGTAAAGAAAACAAATGTCATTTCGAGTGACTACCACCAGCCATGGCCTCCACCACCACCGCCGCCGCCACCCGCTTCCCAGCCCCCTGCGTCCCAGCCCCCAGCGTCCCAGCCCTTGGAGTCCCACCCTTTGGCGTCCTCCCATCCGCCGTGGCCACCTCCTCCTGCAATGTGGGCTGCGCCGGCGTCGATAACCTTCACGGTATGTACGTCGAGATGGGGCTTCCATCCGCCGTGCCATCCACCGCCGCCACCACCGCCGTGCCACCCACCTCCACCATGCCACCCGTGGCCGCCATGCTGGTTCTTAATGATCTTGATAGGTATCGGGATGGGCAGTGGGAATGGGCAGCAGCTTTGGCGTAAGGATCTTGGCCAGGATGCCGAGCTTGGCGAGCTTTTGATCTTCTTCTTGTGGTGAAGGTGATGACTAGCGCTCACTTCTTCCACGATGAGCGCCAGCAACACCATGAAAGTCAAGAACAGGGCGAAGCCCGTTGCTGAAGTAGATCGCTGCATTCCGTTCGAGCCCGCTACGATTCCGAGGTGGAAGATCTTCGCCGAATGCGGCACACCACACACGGGCACTGGGGCCGAAGTCACCGCTCGAATAGTCCAGTCACGGGGATGGGGTACAGCCTTTTAGCCTCGCATCGCTCAGACCAGGGAGAACCACACCGAAGACGTATCCACAGCTGTTCTGGTCTGCCGAGACCACCCTCGCCACACTTATATAGCCGTCCTGCTAACAGGAACCAGGGTGTCCGAGAACACTCAACAGGAGTGGTTCACAGCAACCACAGACAGCTTCCTTCCTCCTTCCTTGGATGGAAGGGCGAGGAACAAGCAGACCATCGCCCCTCCACCGACCCTCTTCCATTCACTCTCCCCTGGCCACCCTTGTGTTGAGCGTGGGGAGGCTTCCAGCGCGTGACCGACATGGTTTTGTGAGTTGACTCTCCAACGATCATCGACACGCCGACTCGTAGAAGCCCCTAACCGGGCCCGCCGTCGTGCGTCGCACGTGTAGCCCGCTGCGCCCTCTTTCTCGAAAGTGAGAGTTTTATTTCCACTCTCGCTCTCACGAGACGAAGAAGCTCACGGGGTCAGTGGGATTTCCCTCGCCGAAAGCCCGACCAACTTCAAGAGTGTGTGAGTGCGTATTTGCCGCAGCCTGCGCTGAAAGTGAAAAAATAACAATAAAACACTGTCCCTTCTGCCTGATTTAGCTAAGGCTGAGAAAGAGAACTGCAGAGTGAGTTGTTCTTGTCTCGCCATGTGGACCTTCTTCCTTCCTGGTTTACTTTGCATCACAGCAGCCGTTTTCGGGCAGTAGGTGAGCGACTGCGAGGGCATCTGAAGTGACTCGAGGTTGCGAGAGAAATTGAACAGCCAGAGAGGACACGGAGTAAAAAAAAAAAAACTCTATTAGGTACACTACGTGGAGTTTCGCCCCCCTCGGGTTCTCCTCACTGAGTGGATAGCACGCTGGAAAAGAGAAAGAAGCGCTGACTCGTCTGCGACGATGCTCACAACGTAGCGTTCGCTTTCCGGAAGCAAGAGCGCACCGCCTCCGGCAGCAACACGACAGATCTCCACAGTCGAGAGAGAACGAGAAATATGTCCGGTGCGCCGAGGAGCCTGTGCTCGATAGTGTAGTGGCGAAGCGAATCGAGTAGGAAAATGCATCCTTCCTTTACTAAGTACTATTCCAGGTTCCCTATAAAAAACTTGATGTCGACCTATTTTTCAATGTTGCTGTTAACGCTACCTTATCTCCCTTATCGCGAGAGATAAGCCGTACCTGTGTGGACGCCGATGTGGCCTCTCGTTCAGGTGCCTATGGTCTCTCCTTCATCTAGCCGACTAAGCACCATTATCAAACGCCGCTGGCGAACTGCTATACAAAGAATGTGTTCGTGGTCGCCAATGTTTATAATTAGATCTTGCGAAGAGAATGCATGTTTCCTCTTTCCTATTCGGCCCCACCTCAGGCGCGGACAGCCACGCCGAAAAAAAAAAATGGCAAAGACGAGAATCCAACAGGAAATAAGTGTGGAAGAAGAAAGCGATCTCAGCCAGTAGTATACGCATGGCCAGTGCGCCAATGTTACAAGGCCCGACAGTCGCAGGCGGCGGAAGAAACTAGTCCCGTTCAGCCACCGTCACATAGGTGGTAGCCACTGAAACTTCGAAGATTGTAAACGCGTCTTTCTTAACTGGGCCCACCGAACTCGATCGAGCAGCCGAGGTAGACACGTTGTCTAAATGAGGAACAAAATTTTTGTCGGTGGGATGTGTGGCGGCCCGTATTCGGAGAACTGGCACTGCGTGCTCTTTTTGATCTTCTGCGACCGAAAATTAGATTGCCTGTTTACCCGCTCGGCCGGCCGCAATCAGGTTCAGCGACGAGAAACGTTTTAGGCCGTTGAAGTTCACCCGGCGCACCGCACATGTTCGTCGGCTCGTTACGGAGTGGTGCTTCCAGGACGGTAGGCGTTATGACCGTGTCCATCGAAGTGAGGATGAAACAGCCAGATGGAAACGTAGTGCTTGGTGTGGTCGCTGGCTTCTGACACTTTTGGTGCAGCGAGTGCAGAAAAAACCATTCAGGAGATGGTTGAACCTCCGTTACTTTTAACTTGCTTTCACTGGCTTCCATCCACGTATAGTACGAACAATGTTTTATTTATATCAGCTCTCGTTTATTTATTTATTCATTTATTTACTTACTTATTTATTATTATTTATTTTTGTGTCGCAGCCATCGGTATTTCACGTTCGTAATGTTCTGTTAGGTATTCATTTCAATGAGACAGCGATCGGCATTGCACGCAGCACATTTAACTATTACATCTGAACAGAGCCACCATTATACAGTACTTTCAAGTTCTTCAGGGGCGTTAATTGGCGGGTCTGAATCTCGTTATTTTTGTTCACTTCATCGTTCTTTCATTGATGGAGGCTTAGATATACACGTATAAGTCCGCGTATAGAGAAATCAGAGAGGAAAGGTAAATGCGTTAATCAACCGGCATAGTTGGCGGGTTCAAACTTGGAAGTTTAACTCAAATGTGGAAATAACGGGATGTACGAACATATTCAGAATGAAGCATTTGATACATTCGCTCATCGCAAAAGTGTTTCTACGTTTGTGTACAGCCACCAGTCTTTGGGACCAACGCGCAGAGGCAAGAAGCCATCGCTGCATGATCTTTTGTGAACCGACGTGAATTTCACTACTCTTTTTGGGCACGAATCATGACGGACTGTCCACAAATTCGTCACATTTAGACACAATTATTTACAGGGTCTCTATTACATTTCTCGAAAGACTATTAGGCAATATGTTGTTACTTACAAGCCTCAGCAAATAATTGTCGCTACTGCAGAGTGATCGTTTCCCTTTCGCCACACCCCCGGAGAAAATAAATCATCGAGGAACGCGCATAAGCACACTTCTTTACTGCAACGCGGAATGGGGACTGGTAAATTTATAGACTGAATATCTTTAAGGTGGCACTTTAAGAGACAGAACAGGGGCGTCTCTGTCGTCAGCAGCGAACACAGCTGGTCTCATGCCACACAAGACAACATACAGATTGAGCAGCGTCCCCATCAACCGTGCGGACACAGCCTGCCAGCCATTTCCCAAGGCAGGCTGCGTCCGCAAAGCTGTTGTGGACGCTCAACTAAAATCCGTCCAGTGAGGCACGCGTGGACGAGAGATCACGGCCACCCCAACTTTCGACGTAGGTTGTTGTTTGCTATTTAAGTGGATTTCAATATTGCTAGATATACGGTTTTATTCGTAGTCACGTGGCGTAGACTATCGTGAACAAGAATATATTCTAGCTCACTGCAGTATAGACCTTTGCATTGAACAAGGAGGTCCGGTCTGGCAACTACCGCATTTCTCCTCTCTGGCATGCGGGAGACGGCTTGGAGCGTTGTTGATGCTGGTATGCGGGTTGTTATCGAGCAACTTGCCGTGTATCAAGCCGACCTGCGGGTTTTGTTTTTCTTCATTGCTATGACGGCCATCATCAAGGAACTGGTAATCAAGGAACCACTGCGGTGTTTTTGGGTGCAGTAACAACTACAAAAAAAAAGAAAACTGCTGTCGGCAGAAATATGTTAAGTGCATCACCAGATGCGGACTTTTTGTGGCTGCGGAGTCGTCAAGTCAATTGCATCATCATTTTTTTGTTGACGAGGAGCAGCGGCTTCTGTGACATGCAAACTTAAACAGGGAAGACTTTGTACCTTGCGCAGGTACTTGGGTATGTTCAGAGCACTTCTTTTCAGGCGAACGAACCGCAACGACTTCGACACCGATACTCAACCACGGCTGTGAACGAAAGGTACGCAGCCTACAGCGATTTCCAACGGTTACAATATTCTCCGGTGAAGATCCCCACGTAACATTTCTCTCTTTTGCAGGGCAAAGTACGTGCGTGGCATCGAGAGTCACTTATATATAGGGATTGAAAAAAAAAGAAGATGCCCACGCAAAAAAAAAGATCTTCTATAGACCATGTGTTCAAATTGATTTAAATATCAAGCCTACATTAGTCGTTGAAATTTTGCTGATGCCGTGCGTCTGTATATGTCCACACCAATCTAGCCCACAAGCAGTCTCACTTCCAAAAATTCAGGTCGGTACACCTGCAAGCGCTCAAATTTACTCACGCTCGCCGACATTCATCGACGTTAATATCCTCTTCTGAACGTGCGCACAGTTTTCACTGTTAATCCAAGGGTGACACGTCAAAGTTACTTGGAGTAAATGACGCCGTCTTACGCATGCTATACGCCTTATGTCGAGCGTATATACTAATAATCTTTTAACCAGTTATGGACAAGACTGAAAACTTGAGTCACATATATTGGCACATCAATATGAACAATGAGGAATAAATATATTTATAGTGCCGCAGTTTGCCGGGGTAATTGAAGATGATAAGCAAATATTGGGAAATTCAATGTGAGCGCGAACTTGAACGTAAGTGTTTAAGAAAGCAAATTAGGTTCCTGAATATATTATCCTAGGCTTAATGACCCAAAACCACGATATGATTATGACAGAAGTCGAGTGCTATCACCACTTGACCACCACGGCAGGCAGAAGTTAGGTTCTTTGTATTCTGAACTGAATTTATGATAAAGTGCTATCGAGATGACCATAGGAACCTACATTCACGCTATCTGATACGCCCAAACCCACTCATCGACATTTAGCCACTGTGGACGAGCGAGGGCATGAGTTCTACTTCCGGTCACGTATCTACTGCCATTGCACCTAGGCTCACACCAGCTCACTAACACCCACCCTCCTCAACACAAGCATCCACTCTTACCACCACAACACTCACTCCCTCCATCTCTCCCACATGTAGAATAAGTGCGATCCGGGAAGTGTGAGTGAAGATGTATGTGTTGGTGCACGTTCATCAAGGCATATATTTACGGGCTATGCTCCTTAGGGTCGCACAATGTCCGGCTGTTGTCGTCGAGGT